CCTTTGACAAAGTTGACAAAAAGCATACACTGGGTCTATTTCTATGCCAGTAACATGCTGTTTTTGTTACTACAGTTTAATTATATAATTTGAGGTCAGGTAATGTGATGCCTTCAGCTTTGTTCTTTCTCTTAAATTTGCTTTGGCTATTTAGACTCCTTTTTGGTTCCATATGAATTTTAGAATTGTTTTATCAATAACTGAGAATGATGCATCTGGTCATATGGATACAACTTTGGTTTCTATTGTGAAAACAAACCCTTGTTTTCAGAGTTACTGTACAACCACCATGACAGCATTTCTGATTTTATCCTAATAAGAGTTTTTTAATGAGCACAGATTATGTTCATTTCTTAATATAACCAATATGTGTTTCATAATTTTTAAATACCTACTGAAAGTACAGTAATTTGGCAAGTTTATTGTTTTCTTCTAAAATGACTGCTGCTATTCTTGAAAGGATCTAGCTGGAATTTTAATTGTATATTGGCTTTCTTTTTCCCTCATAAATAAGGACACAACAGATAATTCGTGCAATTTAATTCTATAAACATGTAGCATTGTGCTTGAAAACTCCAGTATGAATAAGATATGATCTTTCTTTCCAAATGTCTGTTAATGACCTGCAACAATGGACAAGAAGGCATATAATTAAAAGAAAATGCAGTACTTGCAATACTAGTTATAGGAACCATGGGCTATCAGAAAATGAAAAGGAGTGATTTGACTTTCTTGGAGGCCAAAAAAGAGGGTCATAGATGGCTTCACAAAGGAAGAGACACTTAAGATAGATCTTAAAAAATATATTAATGATTGATCAGTATGTTCAGTTCAGCTATCATGCCATTACTCCTCCATGGTAGACATTGCATTAGGCACTGGCACACAGTCTGTGTTCTAAGTCCTCAAGAAGCTTATAATCTAGGCATATTTTGCCAAGCCAAGAAGGCATAAAAGTTCCTCACCTGTCTATCTCACTCCTTTCTGTTCTGGCTTTTGCCATGTCATTTTACCAAACTAGACTCACACATAAAAAGGAATTTTAAGTTCAAAGGTTGTTTCTTTACACATTCTTTTCATTTCTGATTTAATGGAAAAAGTAATGGCTTGGTAAGTCAAGCAACTACTAATTCTTAATGTTACCAATAAGCTTTTTTTCTTACAACATTCATTTAGTCATTAATTCACTTCTTCAACCAACATTTAGTAAGGCATTACCATATTCAGTGCATGTCTAGGGGACTGGGATATAAAGATGGATAAGAAAAGTGAGGTTATTGTCTAGTAAAGGAAGTAGACTTATAAAAATACAACTGCAAGGTGATACTGGTTACAACTAACGCTCAAAAAGAGAAGGAGACATTACTTCTAGTGTAGAGGTTGGGGAATAGCTGGGAGACAAAGTGATGCCTGGGAACTGGAAGCCCATTCCAAATGTCGGGAACATGTGGAAATTCATGCAGATCCCAAGTGATCATTAGTTTATGGACTCTGCTGTTTTCCTTTCACAACTCTTATTTAGGAGTCCTGTTCTCATCCCAAGCACTAAACAGTGAAGACATTTTTTTCCATGCTTTTCTCCAGTTGCAAAATTTGCTGTTCAAATATTGGACTGACCAATTTTTTTCATGTATCTTAAGCAAGAATGTCAACATAACTCTTATTTCCCATAACTAAAAATGCCAAATACTAGTATTTTATTTTCTAAAAATCACTAAAATATATACATTGCCTCCAACTCTATAGAAAAGTTTCTAAAGTTATATTTGCAATTTTATTTTCATTTTGGTAATCTTCACAAGCACACAGTTAAAACCTTTGAAGCCAGATGTATGGATTTAGAAATATCTTTTGGATTTTAGAAAAGTAAAATGGTACATATACCCAATTTTAACAAACACTCTCTCCTCCAGCCCCAGCAAGGTGTAGGGTAGCAACGTGGAATCAAACATATTAATCTCTCTGTAGTAAACACTTAAATGTTCTCTAAGAGGAATAAACATTATAGCAAGCCTCACATCAGTTCAGCCCAGGTTTTCTGCCGAATGAATTATGTAAAGCCATTTAGTTTCAGCATTTTTTTGGATTTCAGAATTGTTAATGAGGGATTATGGAATTGTAATTATTTTCATTGTACAGTTTTACAGAAAGGTTTAGACAGATTAAGTAACTTGCCCAAGTTGTCTAGCTAATAAGGAGACTTCACATAAACCCAGCATCTTACTCTTTGTTAATAACTGCTGTCCTACATGCAGTTTCTTCACTGGGTATTTCCAACCTCTGGCCATTCAGAATCTATTGTGATGCATTCCTCTCTTGCCTCTTTTATTTCACTTCTTTTCCAGCTCAAAATTATTTATTGTTTACTTTCTCCATCAAGAGAAGCTTGTGTTCTGCTCACTGCTGACTTCTCAATCTCTAACTTTTCTATTGCTATTATGTTTTTCATTCCTTTTGGGAATGCACATTTTTTGATCCCTCCATGAGAATTACGATGTTTAAATGCAGATTCTCAACACATCTCTGACCCGCTGAATCAGGATCAATGCTGATGGGGCTTGGAAACCTACATTTCTCACAAGCATGCTGTGTGATTTTGATTGCTCTTCTTAGGAATTTGCTCTTGTTGCAGGCACAGATTTAAATGCCTGGCATCATAAGTCTACTAACACCCAACTACCTGCCCTTCAAAAGCCACCTGAAGAAACACTGTTTGGGCAGTTTGATCGTTTAATAAATAAGGTAAGCATAAGGAGAGTATATTAATATGCTAATTACTTGAAAGATAACATGACATACTTGGCCAAATCCTTGTTTCCATAGCCCAAGTCTCATTTTCTCTCCATTGTCAAACACTGCACTGTAATGGGTTTCTTCTAAATATCTATTCTGGTTTACTCTAGCCTGACCTATGAGTGAAAGATAGAGTAGCAATTGTATTTTCCAAACAAAATTTTCCTGTGTAAAGAAGCCAGATACTTCTAGAGTGTCTTTCTACAAAGGGTCTCCATTTTCTCTTATCTTCCCTATAGTATGCAGACTCTGAGGAGTAGCATACTATTCTTTAGCTAATGAAAGCACAATATGAGTTATTTGCAAAGACACGCACACACACATACACACATACACACACACACACACACACCCCAGCAGCAGCAACAGTAAGAAAGAACGATTAGAAAATCACCTGTAACCTAGATCCAGCGTGCTTGGTTTCACTACTAGGAATATTAATCTAAAGGGAATAATCATCTATCGTTTTAGACATGTCAGCCCGCATTGGAGAATCCAGAAGCACAAATCTATTACCTGACCATCTGCTTATTCCTCAACATGGTGTTGAGAAGTGAATCACTAACATAATCACATAGGCAAAATCTTCCTTTTTTTTTTAACAAATGATAATGCTGAAAATTATACTTACAATTTTGATGAAAGCTGAGCTTAACAAAATAGTCTGAATCTCAATTCAAACGATTAGCAAATCAATTTCCATTTATATCATTGACAAAAGTGTCTTCATCATTACCCATCTTTTATTTGAATATGTAAGTTTTGAAGTGAATGTGAAAATCCTTTAAAGACAAAACATTACAGTGCCATGCAGCTACTTCCATTTCAGCTCACATGGCTACCACCCAAATTTGAGACAATGGTTTTATAGATGGTCATAAACTATCATGTCAGAGACAATTTCCTTGAGATATTTACATTGAATTAACTTAAAGTCATTTGTGAATTTTTTGTTAGTTATAAACAAACTTAGGATATTGATAGTCATTGATAAAGGCAAGAACACTCACCAAATACTGCAGAGTCAGTTTATGATAATATGATTAGTTACCCTAATAATGCTGCTTAGGCACTATCTTGCTAATTACAATATTATAAATATTAATGTCACAGCCTTTCTGTTTGATTGCCACTCATGGAGTGATTCATCATGATATTTTCCTGGAACCCACATTGTGAGATTTTCTTTCTTTCCTCCTTTTCTTTTTTCATTACTGGACTTGCAATCATACACATTACTCTTGAAGAGGGGTTTATTTTTGGCTATCTGTTAGGAGAGGGACAGTGATATTTTCCACGAAAACTAGCCAAATAGAAGTCATTTATAAGACGTTTCTATTATTTTTTCTGAGTCCCTAACCAAGTCATCCAAGGCACAGTACTCAGGGTTTTTGTTTTCCATTCCTTTTCATGTGACCTGTTTCAAGTTAAGATTCATTTGAATTATTAAATGCTTCCTTAAAGAATCTTTTCATACTGCCTCTCTTTTTTTAAAGTTAATTATTGATGTAGTGACAAGTTGAAAAGACTAAGAATTATAATTTTTTTCCTCCCCTCATTGGGGGCTCAAGAAATGTCTTCTGACAATGGTTGTCTATTTAGAATAACACAAAGGAAATACAAAGGCAAAGTGCTGAATGTTGTTTTAGCAGAGTTGCTAAAATCACTGTACTATACAAAATGTAAATGTAGTGTATATTTCTTGGAAAATAGCAGTTAGTGAGAAAGTTGGGACATAACCTTTTGAGCCCAGGTTTAACCACACAGCAGAAGGAGTTACAAAAGACACTGATTAGATTTTAATTTTAAAAACTTCATTATATTATTCAGGACTACAGTGATTTGATTGTCTTGAAAATAGTAAGGTAATGTTACCCAGAAAGCATAAAGAAATCTTCAGACTCCCACTAGAAAGAATGCCAGTCATCACCATAGTAAGTAAGAATTTGCAGGCACTTTATACTGCAAATTTCAGTCTTTTTCTTTTATATAACCTTGTCCTGTATTGGTTTTATAAAAAAGTAACTCACAGACCCATCATATGGCTGTAATCAAGCCTCCCTCAGAAAGAGTCCACTGCAGAAATCACATCCACCAGGCACTGTGTTTCCTTTGATAGTGAGAATGTGAGACGGTAAATAAGATCTGAAATAGAAACTGACCAAGGCTGAATTCTAAAAAATAACATAGGAGATTTAAGCACATACCTTGCCCAAGAGTTCAGGTATGCGTGGAACTGGTTTCCCTTTCTGGTGACTCACAGTAGCTGGACTCTGTCCATCCCAATCTTGTAGTTCTTCAATGCTTTTCAGATAAAGCATGGCTTTGAGGCCAGTGCAGTAGTCTTCAATCACAGTGAAATCCTGATTCTGAATGGCACTGCATACCTAGAAAGGACAGAGAAGTCGACCAAATGTCAAACCAAGAGGTAATTCTCCAAACAAATTCACTTTTCTTTGATTCAACAAATATTTATTTTATGTGCCAGGCACTGTTTGAGACATGATAGATCAGTCACTGTCTGGAGATATGGGTGGTGAGGAGGACTGGGCTGCAATGGAACACAGAGAAACTTTAAGGGACAATGAACATTTTCATAAACTTGCAGTGGTAATGGTGTCACGGGTATATACACATTCCAAAACTTATTAAGTTGTATACTTTATATACGTACAGTTTATTATATGTCAGGTTGAATTTTCAAGGAGTCAAATTTGGCACAACATAAGAAAGGCCATTAAAATTCTCATTGCCCCTCTATTGGGATGTGCTACCTTCATGTGTGAAGGTGGTCAAACTGAGGCTGGAGTGCTGTTCGTTCAGTTAACTCAAACATCATTTACCCCTGCCTCTGTCTCCCTCCTAATCTGCTATTGTTCTTCTTCTTGTCAACTATGATCCAGTCACCCAGGTCTTTCCTCTCTTCCTCAAAAAAAAAAAAAAAGCCATATTCTTTCATTGCCTTAGGATCTTTTCACAAGATCTCACTGGCTAGAAGGCCTTTCCTTTCCACACATGGCTAACTACCAACCATTCCTCAGGCTCATGGTAAATGTCCTTTCTTCAAAGAGGCCTCCAGGAGCCGAGAGTAGGTTCTGGCCTTCATTTAATCAGACATTTTTAACTTCTAATTATTGCATGATTATTCAATTGACAACTCACTCCCCAATTAGACCAAAGTTTCAGAAGAGAAGAATTGCATTTATTTTGGTTACTATATTGTCCCCAGTGACTAGGACAGTGTTTGTCAGTTAATCTGCTTCCAAAAATATCTGATGAATGAATAGTGATGATATAGTTTGGCTGTGTCCCCACCCAAATCTCATCTTGCATTGCAGTTCCCATAATCACCATGTGCAGTGGGAGGGACCTGGTAGGAGGTAACTGAATCATGGGGGTGGCTATCTCCATGCTTTTCTCATGATAGTGAGTTCTCACACAATCTGATGGTTTATATAAGGGGCTTTTCCTCTTTTTCTTGGCACTTCTCCCTCCTGTCACCATGTAAAGAAGGATGTGCCTGCTTCCCCTTCTGCCATGATTATAAGTTTCCTGAGGCCTCCGCAGAAATGCTTAACTGTGAGTCAATCAAACCTCTTTCCTTTATAAATTACCCAGGCTCGGGCATACACACACACACACATATGTATATATATTTTTTGAAATGCAGTCTCACTCTGTTGCTATGCTGGCATGATCTTGACTCACTGCAACCTCTGCCTCCTGGATTCAAATGATTCTCCTGCCTCAGCCTCCCAAGTAACTGGGATTACAAACACACACCATCAAACTCAGCTAATTTTTCTATTTTTAGTATAGAGAGGGTTTCACCATGCTGGCCAGGATGGTCTCAATCTTTTGACCTTGTGATCCACCCACCTTGGCCTCTCAAAGTGCTGGGATTACAGGCATGAGCCACTGCACCTGGCCTTGGGTATATCTTTATTAGCAGCATGAGAATAGACTAATACAAATAATTAAAAAGAAAAGAAAACTGAAATAGAAGATTCTGGAGTTAATGAAGTTTAAATCAGAGAAATTACAGTTCTTCCATTAAAAAACCCCTGGGGATTCTGTGATTGTGGCTGGGATTTGAGTTAAAGCTTGAAGAATATGGATTCAAATAACCGCTTCTAGGTTGATTATTTCCAAAGATATCCCTCCAATTTTGATATCACATGTGGATTCCAGAGACTCATTTACAACTTCCCGTAGAACCTCTTCACTCAGAGGGCCCAACATCACTTCAAATTCAAAATTTACAACATGAAATTCAACATCCTTCCTAATCCATATTTCAAATTTGTCTAATGAAGCAACTATTAAAACAAAACTAAGCAAAGAACAACCCATTTCCATCCTATTTTCCCAGACACTGAATGCCTTGTATATACCAGAGTGTCTGGCAATGACAACCAACAAATAAAAATCATCTCATACATGAATGAAAACGACGGCAATGCCCGAAAACAGAATAATAAGATTCTATTTCAGACTCTTAAAGCCTTTTGGGTATTAAACTAAATACATTTTATTGTAAGCTTTGTGCCTAGCATGCTACCTGATACCTCATTGTTGCTAGGTTAGTTGAGAGAATTTATTGAAAACACACTAGGAGTTTCCAGAATGGGAAATGGGATAAGTAGAGAGAGAGAAAGAGAGAGAGGTAATATGTATATATACATACATACACATACATACACATATACATATGACACACATACACATATACACACACGCACGTGTGTGTGTGTGTGTGTGTGTGTGTGTGTATGCCTAGAAGTTCTCAGCAAGGAGTGGTAGTGATTCCGTGATGTATACCTAAAGAACATTCAAGTGTGAAATTGTGGAAATGCTAGCACATAAAGGAAGGCTAAGGAAGATGATCGTGAGGGAAAACAAGAAGAGATCCAAGAGAATTAAGTCAGGTGCCACATATCAGAGCTGAAAGTGCTAACTGGATGTAGCACTTGGCAGGATACTGGACAACATTTGCCTTTATAGGAGAGATGTGCAACGGAGTAGAAGCCGGTTTGTGGGGTAGGTTGAGGAATGGATGGGGGATAATGAACTAAAGATAGCCAAATAACACTTAGAAGAAGTTTGGCTCCTGTAGGAGAAAGAGGTGAACTGGGGGTATAGGTTACAGGGTTTTGCATTTTGTTTTTTTATTTTTGAGACAGGGTCTTGCTCTGTCGCCCAGGCTGGAGGGCAGTGGGGCGATCACAACTCAGTTTTGCCTCAACGTCCTGAGCTCAAGCAATCCTCCCACCTCAGCTTTCCAAGTAGCTAGGACTACATGCACCCACCACCATGCCTGGGTCTCTTTTTTATATAGTTATTTAAAATTTTTTATAGAGATAAGGTTTTGCCATATTGCCCAGGCTGGTCTCAAACTTCTGAGCTCAATCAATCTGTCCACCTGGCCTCTCCAAAATGCTGGGATTACAGGCGTGAACCACCATGCTTGGCCCATGTTTTATTTTTTTTGAAGAATGAAAATAATTATGTTTTAAAGAGATGCAGTTATTTTACATTTCAGAATAGGACAGACTGGTTTCTATGTATGAGTTTTCTGTCAAAATTGGCTGAATGATTATGTGATGAGAATAGAACAATGCAATATCTAACATGAAATAAGCTCTTCTTATGGGCCAGGCACTCTGTTAGCACTTTTAAACACATTATCTTCTTTAGTCCTCAAAATAACCTAAAAGATAGGTTTAATTTCAGCCCCATTTTACAGATGAGGAAACTGAGTCTTAAGAAAGTTAAATGACTTGCTCCAGACCCCACGGTTAGAAAGTGATGGCACCAGAATTCCTGACCATACATTAGAATATAATCTAGACACAGACATTAACAGAGGAAAAACTTTTAATACAACTACAATTACTTTTTCTACAACTATTGCATGGACCAAACACATATATTTAATCAAGTTATCTTCAACTGAAATATAGCTATGGTTTTGAAAAATCCATGCTTTTAGATAAAAATTGTCAGTGTTTTCAATTTACCTTACTTGTACAGTATAAAAATAATAAGCCAAAACCAAAAAGCAGAAATAAAAACCCCTTCATTTTCTATTCTGAAGTGCTGAATGTTAGTACAATGTAGAAAAGAGCATAGAATAACTACTAAATATGAACAGGAACATTTTCTAGGAAGCCCATTTACATTATATAAAAAAATCTGTTTCTCAGGAGGAACAATTTGTACATTAATTAGGCCTGTTATAACTTTCTTAGAGTTGGTGGTGATTTTTTTTCTCACAATTATAAGGAACATCATTATCATTTCCTCCAGGGGGGTTTCTTTTTCTTTTGACTATAAAAGTCAACTGATGCTTTACTTAATCCTCTTTGCTCACTCTGAGATCCTATTTTTTTTGTAGTATATGCTTATGGGTATATTTTACTATAGTCTTAAAATAGTTCACCATGTGAACATAAGAAATCAGATTTTGAAAGTCATATAATGTCATGTACTTTATGGGATTTTCATGACTATTGTAAAAACCCGTTGCTAAAAGGAATCTAGAAATACTTCTCAAAGGATGAACAGTAAAGTATAATCTAAATCATCCCTGATTTTTCCAGGAAGAAGATACAAAAGCTATGAATTCTCTCAATCCTCCAACATGGCACAATTTGTATGTAGTAGACTCAGCCAAGGAGTGGAGAGGCCAAAATATAGACTTGGTATCTTTTAACTGTAGAAGAACATGGTAGGACCCAAGGCTAAGAAAACTCCGTTTCCCACCCACTTCTAGGCTCTTTATCCTACCGGGTTAACGCTCCACATAAATGGGAGCTATACTGAGAATGTGAACTGAATACAAAACTTGAAGAGGGAGAAGAGACTACAAGGTACTTACTGAGCAAGAGTGGGATAGTGTGCAATGCTGGAAGCCCTGGAATCCCCATGAGGCTCGAGTGCTGGAGGGGATGACTTCAGATATACTTAATCATATGGCAAATGTCACATTATTTATGTACCTTTCTGAAGTAAGTAGTTTAATTTTTACTTCCAATAAGATTAACCTACTAATTTTCCTGACAGAATTTCTGACAGTAGGAACTTTGCACATCGATATTTTGCACATTGATATTTTCTTTAAAAATTTTATTGTACATACACATTTTACAAAAAAATTTTTATTGTACATACAAATCAGGTGGGGATCTTTTTAAAATGCAGATTCTGGTTCTGTAGCTTTGGAGTGGGATCCTGGAGTGAGATTATGCATTGGCCAAGTTTTCGGGGGCTGCTGCTGCTGCTGGACCATACTTAGAACAGCAAAGTCTTAAGTACTGGCAGAGGCGCATCTCATCTCAACTGAAATGCTGATTGCAAAAAAATTCTTCTAAACAAACAGGTTTCT